CTGTAATAAGCTTTCTAAGCTGCTTTCCTCACCACGTTTATCAGCAAAGTGGAAAAGAAAGGCTCACTAGATTGTTTTGTATGGCTAATTTGCTCAGCTCATTAAATATTGAGGTAGAGGCAAATTTATTTGATTGCCAATATACTAGCTTGAGTGGTCTTTGTTATGCCTCAGAGGAAGTGAAATGAAAGGAAATTTTCCCAAGTAGGAAAAAAATTGTTGTGACATTGTGCGATGGCAGGAATTTCAGTGCCTGAAGGATGCACACACACACGAGTGTATGCACTGGAATAATGGTCAAATGGTACCCAGAGATTAATCTCACAGACACAATTTAACTGAACCACTTCAGTTTGAGTTTGCATTATAATGTGTTATTACTCACAACTGAATGGTAGAAGTGTATTTGCGTGTGATGTTTGACTGCTTAAAAGATTTGGCAATATTTCAGATTTGTTAGAAGCTTTTTTTTGTATCATGTCGAGAAGTAGGTCCACTTGGAAATAAATGTGCAACATAAAAAAAATCTGTTTAATTTCAAGTTGCCCATGATTTTTGCATCATACTTATCTTTGCTAATTGCTGTAATGATAGTAAATGACACCACACAAAAACAACAACAATGTAATCTGAGTGCTGAAAATGGAGCCTAAAACAACATACTTATACTGTTATGATCCCAAACCACTGGATGCATCCTTTGGGCCACCATGACTCAGCAAATTCACAAACTGCAGTGCAAAAGTAGTGTGAATTTGTTTGTTGCTTATTCCAGGTTGTTGTCACAATGTTCTCCATAACTACATGCAGAGTTTTGTTTTGTTGTCTCTTGATCATTATCTTGATCTATCCGATTACTTGAGGACCATGATTGCGAAGTTCTCCAGTTTCTCTTGGAAAAATCATTTTATGTAAAAAAAAAAAAAAAAGAGAGAGAGAGAGATAGAGATAGAGATAGAAATAGAGAATTCAGCCAATAAACCCAGAGTCATCTGTTTGGTTCACATAGAGAAACTTCCTTGTCTTTCAGGCATTGGACATACCATTGCATTCATTTGAAAACCTTTCTAGTAGAAATCATTGAAAGAAGATATGTTCCAGAAATAAGACCAACCATCTTCCCATTCCAAATTGTGCTTGAAATTAGACTGCACAAGCTTTTATTTACATCCCACATCCAGTATTTATCATTATTGATACATTCTTCATTCTCCACTTGATTCTACAGAAAGAAAACCTACTACTGATGAAGCTTCTAACTCACCCATCCAACATGTTTCATTATTATGGTACCCATGAAGAGATATCTGTCAGGAGACTTCTGTTCACATACAAAGCCTGCAATGTTTTTGTGCAGTAAATTGTCAAAGTAGTTCTTTCGTCTTAAAGCAGTGGTCAAACTGAAGACATAAATATAGAAGGGAAAGCAAAATTAGGCTGTCACTCATCTTATGCTCTCAACTCAGGCAATACTTTGCCTGTATTGCTTTTGCACTACAATATGTCTCTGCTGCAGTTAGCATCTCTCTTTTGAATCTTTTCTCAAATGTTATTTTCATGTGCTTTAATCTGAAAGTATTCCAATATTTTTTTTCCCAAAAAAGACTGGCTGCATCTTAGTATACATCAGAACAGAACTACCATCTAGCTGACAAGAAAAGGAATCTGTAATACTGTGACATTACAAAAAAACCTCTCTCAAAACAATGTTAAACCTTTCACAAGTGCCTCTGCCATCTGTCCTACATTTCCATTCTGAGTTCATCACACTTTCAATGCCTCCCGAAACAAGCCAGTAATGTCTTGTCCTTCCAACAAATATATTATCCAAGTATCAAGATAACTACAACTGCAAAACCTCTTCGTCTTGGTCCCACATCTTTCACACAGGTTAATTTCACCTGCCAGTCCTCCTTCCCTCTAAGCACTATCAATTTATCCCAATCCTGCCACACCAGAATCCCCAGTGCCTTCTTCAACTCAACACAAGTAATGCAATCTCATTATACTTAGCCTAATATCCATCTAACAAAGGCAACATACCTATCTTCTGCAGATTGTTGCTGTCTCTCTGACTTCTTCACTGGCACTCAAAAGCAAATCTGTTCTCAAAAAGCAGATTTGCATTCATCTGTTACAAAACAAAGTTCAGGTACACTTTCACCAAATGTTTGCAGTGCTTCTCTTTTCTGGGTCACAATAATCTACTTAAACATGCCATGTACAGTATCTAAAAATGCTAACATAGTGATGGTTCTGTTTGACAAAAATGACTTTGTCTTCCTGTGCTGCAGCGTTTCAAAGAGCAGCTGCCCTCTTTTAAAAAATGAAAAGGTACCAGAAAGATGAGTTGAAAGTGAAATTTAGAAAGCAGAATTAAAATATATATATTTTATTACATATTGGTAATCCTGAGATAAGTAAACCTTTTTTTTTTTTTTGACAAAATAGGTTAACATGTGCAGGAAGTAAAGCTACTCAATCTGACAAATTGCACTTATTTTGTAAGGGTCATGATGACACTTGCATTCCAATGTGGATTCTCACTACATAAGCCGCATTGAAATGACAGCTGTAAAAATGGGCGTTTGGGATTAGACATTTAAATGGACATTCACGCAAACCAACATGTTCTTTGTTGGATGTTGAGTCCTTTGCAAGAGTCAAAGCAATCCTTGAACAGGTAATTGGTCATAACTTCCTTTTAAATAAATTTGTCTGACAATTAATAATGAACATTTACAACATGGTACATAAGTGTTTGTAGGTCATATTGCTCAATAAATATGTGGATTCAAGATATTTCATATTATAATCCCAACAATACAAATGGGTAGAGTGCTCCCGTTACATTTTAGTATTTTACTGGTACTACTAAACATTATAAGTTTGGAACTGATTATAAAGGCTTTCTGAATTTTTAACAGACAACAGAATGAGGCCCATTCCCTGAAAAATAGATTGGCAGAGTGTCTCTGGAATATTTCACACTTCTGTCCTCTGTTCATTGCATCCAGTTAAAAGTCCTTGATGTGATTTGCCAGCTAACAAACTTTAGCTACTAAAACATCCCACGTTGTCACTGGGGGAACATTCATCAATCGTTTATATACCATTTGTCAGTCAAAGACATAATGACTATGTTTAACCGAGCAAAGACAGCTGTGTACTGCCAAATTTAAGTGGTGTACCTCCATCAACCCTGAAAGACAAGCACATAGATATTATATTTGACCTCTTCAAAAATCCCTTCTCTGATTTTCTTCTTCAATGTATTTCCATGCAAACCTACTTGAGTGTTGACGTATTACACTCTCTAGGACATAAGTGGTACTGTTCAGGAATGAGATGGAGTTGCACATAGATATAGCAAACAAGTCATACTATCTGCATTCCACTATCTCACTCCAGGAACACAAATTTTCCACCACCACAGCTCGAATAGCCACTTTACTGCAATGAATTGGGTTCAAATGCAATCTTGGCTATTGTCACATGTGGTTTAGAGGCCATTTCTTAATGGTGCACCAACTGCTCCCTGTCCTTTCCTCCCTGTTCAACGCACTACATTCCTTGTTAAATAGGCCTATGTCTTTTTTAAGAGAAGAGAAACGCTTTTTGTTGAGGAATGCAGGGTGAGCAGGTACGAGATTATTGGGTCCTGCAAAAACAAGTTTTAGTGCAAAATAGCATGACAAAAACAAAGCAAAGCAGAAATTTACAGTTTAAACCTAAATAGCTAAATCGATCACTTCTCTTTGTTTTTTATACTATTCAAAGAAAATAGTTAATATTGACATTTATAAATGCATTTCTAAAGTACATGTTTTTAGCATGGCTAATTGCCTAAAAATAAAAAATAAAAAATCACCTGTAGTGTCAAGTAATGCAGATTTCATGGCTATCCTCACTGTCATTCATCCACACCTGTAGAGTCTGAACAGCTCCCTCCACTGCAGGGATCTAATTTGTTTCCACTATCCGCCTTGGATAACGAGCATCCAGCTGTCAAGAGGCCCTGCTGGCAGTGACCTCTCTGCATGAACCCTTGAGGGTGACTGTGTTTTTGACCTGCTCTTTTTACAGACTGGCAGCTACATAAAAAATTGACCAAGAGCAATTGTATAAGAAAAGAGAAAAGGGAAATAAATATTGTGAAAGGATACGGGGGAAGTTGACTGTGTCACTAAAGTATAATGAAAATGTCTTTGATGAGTGAGGGGGAAGCAGCAGCAAGGAAAGAGTTAAGAATATTGAGAGACTGAGAGCTACCTTATTGATTCAGAAAGATGACAGCTATTCAATATTATATAACAACAGTTGTGAGAGCAAAACCTCACCACTGGCAAAATATAAAAAATTCCCACTAACGTGGGTAAGACAGACGGACAAGTGTGGGGATGGGCAGGCAAACGAGGCATCGGTCAGACAAAAGAAGCACTTTTCAGATCCCACAACTTATTTTTCAAAACAACTAAACTATCGTAACTTTTTTTTCTCTCTTGTTGAAGACTTTTATGGCAACAACGATCTGCAGCTCAGCTGCCTTAGGAGAGCAGCGAGGGAGGCAGAGACCCCAGTGGCGGCTGGTCCATAGGTGGCGCTGGGGCCCCGCCCTATCTAATGTGGAGGGTGGGGGGGATGGAAAATCTAAATATGACCTATAAACATTATCAAAAGTTTGAATTGAGTAGTTTTCTCTAATCGTGTGTGCCTAAATGTAATCAGAATTATTTACACATCCACCAAGTAGGCTAACTCTCATTTAACGATACATTTTCCAGACAGACTCCTGTTAGTAATCTTCTGGGGCGAGCAACCCACTAGGGTAACTAAGTAGCCAATCATATGTGGTTGTTAGGGAAAGTAATAAACATTTGGCCAATCAGCATCGCTGAATGAAGTTAATGACCTTCGATACTTGGATCCCTCTGACTGTCGGTCCTGCTTGGAAGATGCGGGTAAACCAGTAGGTGGCGATAATGTACACCAAACGATTCTTTCCAACCGCTAATAAAAATCAAGTAGAAGACGAAAAAGAAGTGGTTACAAAATTAGCTGCAAGGATTTAGTATGTGTGCGAATGTTTTGTGATTTGAAGATATAAAAAAAATAGATTTCTGAATTACATCTCCGTCCAATTGATGGCGGTAATGCACAGCGGTTGCAAACTGTCAGAAAATGCCACAGAAGAAGAAGAAGAAGAAGAAGAAGAAGAAGAAGAAGAAGAAGAAGAAGAAGAAGAATTGGCGGGGAAGTTTTGTGTTGCTAAGGCCGAACAAGTTGGTGACAAATTTGATGATGGCGACAACGTCAGTCGAGGAAAAGCTTACTCCATCTTGAATGAGAATGCTGAGGATTTTCCATATAGCCGGTAAGCTACAGCTGTTCTTCTGCGTGATTTATTAGTTTTAGCTGCCATATTATCTGCTCTTTTTTTTTGTTGTTTAATGTTTGTGTTCATGAGCTGATAATCAGAATGCTGCTGCAGTTCATGCGATTCTCTGGTTAGCATAACTCTAAATTGTAGCTCTGGATACATGCTGCTAAGATTCTTTTTTGACTGTTAATGATTATGCTCTTGTTGCTATTTTTGAGTTTCTGCTGTTATTATAATGCTAATGTTTGGGTGATATAATATTTGCTCGGTCAGATGTGGTGTTGTACAGGAAGGAGCTGAAGTCCTGTTTTCTGACTCAGATCTATGAATATTCATATCTGTTAGATTTTGCTGAGCTCCTGATTGTCAGATACATTCTGGGGGTTTGCTTGGTGTTGTGGCTCCAGCAGAACCTGGTTAAGTCCTTCTGATTTTTTGGTTAATTTTATGTTTGCAGCTGCGGTTATTTAATACTATACTAATATCTTTTAGTTCTTTTAGATAGGAAGGGCTATTATTAGCCTGTTATTTGTTAAAATTTCCCTTTTCATTTATAAGTCTACAGAGGGAAAAACTTAATATTACAATGTGTTCTGAATTGCTCCTTTAACCCTAGACATCGACTGCAGTTTGTTCGATAGTCCTCACTTGTGTAGGATGATTCAGTAAGCTAATCTATTCTGATCTATCAAAAATGAAGGTATTCAATAAACACATGTTTATTGGGATTTATTTTGATTCAGCAAAGCTGCCCTCCAACTCATTCAAAGATTGTTAGTATTGATTAACTTAGCTTGTTACAAGCTCTGGTTTCAGATGCTGTATTTTATTTCTAGATTTGTTCACCATTCCCCAGCAGGAAGATACAGAAGTAATTTTGGACTTTCATTACTCTCTTTTTGGGATTTATTCTACTTTCAGAGTGAATTAAATTAATTCTTCAGTTAATTCATTTATTCAATGCAGATCAGAGCTACTCTTATGTATTATGCAGCACATAGCAGGGTAGTTCTGCTATATGTTACAGTGTCTCACATTATTGTGGAAATTTTTTGTGAAGAAAGCAAGGCACATTGTTTTACAGTCCTGGGTGCTGGCCCTCACCTGATTTTTAATCTTATAACACATCCTGGATCAGGAGATAAAGTTGTTGAGAAATACATAATCAAAATGTGATAAAATAAGATGTATAGTAGCAGTTATTTACCACCACACAGCTACTCATTCTCACTGAGTGGCTCCCAAGATTGCTTTACATCAGATCCAAACATCACTAACTCATGTCATCGCAACAGCCGAATTCACATGGACGGCCATATGTTCTGACATCATTTAAATGAAGGTTAGATTTATTATCAAGCTAAGCCGAATTATTTGGATTTTTTTTTTTTTCCACTTCCTCCCTCTCGTCATCAGTTCCATCTCTGGTATCTTGTAGGAAATCTCTGTCCAATTTCTTTGTCTCTGCTGATTAATAATCTTGTCGGCAACGACTGATAATGAGAAAATAAAATCTCTGATGTAAAACTGTGAACATAATTTTGTTAATGCTTGTTTAGTCTCCCAGACGTGACTTGAGTTTTCTTGCGTTCCAACAGTGGAGTATTTTGTGATCTTTGTTTACCATCTGGCCTATACGGCTGGGCAGCACTTTTTTTTTTTTTTTTAAAGATCAGAGGGAGATGTAATCTCACCATCTGACAAAGGCTTGCATGTGTGTTATCCCAGGACTCCATATGCTCGTAAGCCCTGATAACATCACAGTTTTTCACCACCACTGGTCAACATGCAAGATGTCACCAAAACTTACATGCTATCTGGCACAGGGGCAGATACCTCCCCTACTGCTGCTCTTTTGTCACACTTCTTAGAAAAAGCAGCTTTGAAGACTGTCAGTTACCCTCTGTTAACAATCCCTATCAGTGTCTTTAAAATCCTTGGATTGTTGTCTCCCTTGGAGTTGGTCTCCCTGTTGCGCAGGCATCAAACAAATTATGTTGTTCCACATTTGATAAGACATTAACACTTGTGCCAGATGCATTTGCCAGATATGTTGTGGCAAAACATGAAGCGGCAAACAGTGTGGGAGCGGAGAGACAACAAAAACGATGGACAAAGACGATAAGAGAAAACAGAAAGCAGCAGGACGCGGTTAGATTCAAGCATGATGGTAATTCTGTTAATAGTTAGATTAGAGAATGGGGGTACAGAGAAGCACTTTTGAAAGATAATAATCAAAACATACTTATGATTTGGTCTCATTCTATTTAAAGTTCTTATGTGCTTCCATAGAAGGGACATTCTTATGCATTTATCCATTTGTGTATTTTTAGGGTCATTTTGTATTCACTTGTTTTGAACGCCATATTGGTGAATTTAACATTTTATGTTTTGACTTTTAATAATATTCCTGCAAGTGTTTGGATATATTTTGCCATAAATAATCTTTAACACATTTGATAGCAACAATGTTGCCTCACTTATGCTTCTTTCTTGTCATATTGTTGCTACCATGAGCAGGTATAATTTTCTGCAGTTTAAAATGCTCATCTATCCTGAATTTTAAGCCAATAGATGGGGTCAAGTCGAGGCTAGAGGACAAAGCAATAGGTCGCATGAATATTTTAAATTTTGGTTTAGGATGCTCTCTAATTTGTAAAGCAATTTTGTAGTGAAAGAGACGAGCGCAGAAAGGTGTGCCACTCAAAGGAGCCTCACCCCCTGCGCACACACAAACACTGAAAACACACAGCAACTTCCACACTGGACAAGATGCATTCGCACACAAGAAATGCGAAATTGGTTATGATTGACTTTGCCCCCAGTAAATCCAAGGGACACTGGCCTGCCTCCCTTTCTGAGCTTTTCTAATAATGTTGGTCTTACCTGAACCTTATTGAGAGCATTCGGGTCTTTGCAGCAAATAATGGACAACCTTCATCACATTCATGCCGCTGTTTTCTGTGCCCTCTGCTATAGCCTTGATTATTATTGCTCAATACTATAGACAGTCACTTGAGGGTCACCACAAAATGAGCCACACAGATGATTAACTGGAAATGGAGGGAGCCTGACAGGCCATTTTTGAAACTGCGGTTGGGGTTTCAATTTGAAGACAGTATAAATGTTTTGAAGACAATAGTAGTATTCTGAAGCTTCACCCAAATCGCATGAGACTTTGTTACAGTGGGAAACTTCAGCGCCTGAAAGTTTAGGATTTGCATCCCTAAAAGCTAAAAGTGCGCCTGGTGCATTAATTGAGTTATCAACTCCACTATTCCTCAATTGCTTTCTATAGCAGTACTTACAGTCATGGATTGCACATATATATTTCTAGTGTACAGCTAATTTGATACTCGGCTACACTCATTTAAGATTTGTCATCTTGTTTTTTAGTTCTACTAATTACTCCAAGATTATTGGATGCAAAATAGCAATATGTTGACAGGATTAAAACAACACTTGAGGTCCCCCAGTGAGTTATGAAAAGACCTCAGCTCAATATGTCAATAAACATAATATATAAGCAAACTTTTTTTTTTTTTTTTTACCACAGTGACCTGGCATTTTCAAGATGTTTATGAAAATGTAAGTCACCTGTCCTCCAGCCTTTCCTTTATTATTGTTTTCCCTCTTTTCTTTACCTCAAAAGTCCCTAAGAAATATGCCAGTGATAAGGCTTGAAAATCTAAAAGGCACTTTAGCTATGGAAATGATGAATTTGTTGACTTATTATATTAAAACATTTTAATATACACACACTTTTTAGAAACAAAAAATATGCATGGTAAATTTTACCAATAGGCTTAAATATTATTTAATTTCCTTAGCCATGACATACTGTTGCAGTTGACAAATTCACCAGATCTTATTGGCTGCTTATAAAACTGGGATTTTCATTGTCTTTACACTGCATGAACTGAGCATATCTAAAAGTGTAGAGCTTTTTGATTTTGAAACATTTTATTTGATTAGGAGCAAATAACTCAATTACTGTGATGAATGTGACTAAAACTTTAATTGTAACTTGCTTTGAGTTTTTGTACAGTTCAAATGAGAATAATGACTCCATGTGGGAATGACTACAGTCAGTATAGTGCCATACTGACTGTGATGCTCCAAAGACATATATAAGATAATATATGGGACGTTTCAAATCGCTGAACAAAGGCAATAACCTTTCTAGCTTTTAATAGAAGTGGCAGATGGAATAATAGTACTGTAGATTGACAAATGGGCTGTAATTAACTAAAGGCAGTAAAATGTAAAATTATGCTGGTCTTGGGACATTTAAATACATTTCGTTTTTCCAATAACTTCAGATTTTTTTTTTTTTGAGATTTCAAAATAGAAGATTATCTTGTTAAACATAGCCTTTTCATTTTAACTTAATAAATGATAAAGTTAAAAATTAATTTTAAAAAGTCATGAAACTGTACATCATATAATAGAATAGCTGTACAGCTTTGTGGATTCATGGGTATTACAGCAAAGTGTGTGTGTGTGTGTGTGTGTGTGTGCGTGTGTGTGTGTGTGTGTGTTTGCGTGCGTGCATATGTGTGTGTGTGTGACTAACCGATTTTGTGTGTTCATTGTCCTCTAAATGGTAGCACAGCCGAGTCTATCTACACTGAGTAAACGCACAGGGAGTTTCTCTACACAAGCCTGCCAACTCTTCTCAGCCAGCCCCAATGGGTTATCAAAGCAGACACTTGGCAACCTACTTTCCGAAGCAAAGCATCTGCCCATTCAGAGGCAATGGGGCTAATGTCAGACTCTATCATTCTTACGTTCAAAATGACCTTGGCATCAGCATGCACCACAGAAACTGATGCACAGGTTTTAAGAACAAGAGGGAGACAATATAACTGCAGATCAATTCAAGTTGCAACATAGGTCTTTGTGACAGCCATTACTGAAAGAGAGTCACCTTCAGTGCAGAGTGTGCAGAGGTGGCCATTACCTCTTTAAGAGGTTGGTTATTGATATTCTGC